ATCTCTTCCAGGTGGGACTTTAAAGATGTCTTCTTGTCTGATTGTTGTTTCTGGTCTGCCTGGTTTCCTGGATGCTGTTTCAATCTGTCTGACCTCATGTTCATCATTGACCCCCCCAGTCCCTCCCTCTGTGATGTAGAGCTCTGTGTAGATCTGGTTTAGAAGGGTTGGACTTCCTGCTTTAGCGATTCCCTCAAACACAGACTGGAACCTCTTCTTCAGATTGGATTTAAGGTTATGTTGACAAACTGAGGCAATAACCTCTGAAAGATGAAAGTGTATTATTAGCATTGAAATAATTCCTGTCAAATGATTTTATGTTCTTACTGGAATAAATTAATAATTCATCCATCAGGTTAAATATTTGTAGAAAACGTCTTACTGCTCTGCAGACGTTCAGCCAGCTCCTCCTGCTTCATCCTCCTCAGGAAGTTCAGAGTGATCTTCACAAAAGCCTCTCTGCTCCTCCTCTGCTCTTCATTCTTATCTTCCAACACCTCATCCTCCCACTGACTCTCCAAGCCTTCTGGATCTTCTGCTCTCAGAACTTTCTGGATCTTTTTCAGCTCGTTCTTCACAAAACTAATAATGTTTTCCTCCAGCAGCTGAACAGAACAATAAATAAAGGATACATCAGACTGAAATCATGGAGCCAAACATCAGATCCGTGTTGGACAGACTGACAGTCCTCTGGTCTACAAAGTGCAACATGGAGATGACTGTGAACAGAACCCATGGAGAAGTAGTTTGTAGTTCATGTACAGACCATAAATATGGAGTCCAGCTGGGTTTGATGCTGCTGGGCAGATGGATCACTGGGGACCTCATAGTTCTGCTGGTTCACTCTGTGGAGGAACCAGGAAGCATTAACTCACATTCTGTAGAACAACAAACAGACAAAGACCAAGGTCCTTGTAGCGTTCTGATACAAATGCTATATGTGTTTTCACTTTTCTCAGGGACAACTTTCTATAGCAAAGAAGTTTGAGTTTCTGATGCTCAGCACTATACAGAAGTGAAAATTGTGTAAGTCCATATTAGATTAGATTAGATGAATTTTATTGATCTCACAGCGGAGAAATTCACTAGTCATAGGTTTAACATTTAAAATGATTTAATTATTAATGTCAAAATAGACCAAATATGATTGAATTAAAAAAAACTTAAATCAATGACAGCCATTCAGTTATTTTCTTCGTTCTTTAAAATGTATCTGAAATATTTCTGTCATTAAGCTGCACACCTGCAGCTCCTGTTGTAGTTTTTTTTTTTTAGAGAAATGTCTTCCTACCAATGTTTCCCATTCCTAAATCTATCTCTAGTGAAGGATCAGTAAATTTAATCCTAGTCTTTGATCAGAGGCTGGAGCTGCTCCGTTCAATGACTAACAGGAAGCTGGAGACTCAGGAAATAAACCTTAAATGATCAGTTCATGAAAATATCGATGAAGCCAAGTTCATCAGACAGAGCAAAGTCTATGGAAGGTTAAAGGTTTAATCTTGAGATGAATTTGTTTGTTTCATGATAAACATGGTCCAACATCTGCAGAAAGCTAACAGGACAAGTCACAGACAGAAAAAAAATAGGTTTTCAGTAAGAAAAAGGCTGCAGCAAGACATTTCTTTGCCCTAGAGTAAAAACAGTTTTCATGAATATAAATGGAAATCCCAGCCTAACTTCAAGGTCGAATATTAAATTTTCAAAGAAAAATAAAGTTTAGGTATTTTTACAGGTGAATTTTCTTTTACTACATTGCTCAAAAAATTAAAGTAACACTTTGAAAACACATCAGATCTCAATGGGGGAAAAAATCATGCTGTTTATCTATACTGATATGGACTGGGTGATGTGTTCGGAACAAAAAGGACAAAAGCACAAAAGGATGCCACATCATTTGATGGAAATGAAAATCATCAAACTAAAATGGGCTGAGCTCAAAGACATCCCAAAAATTACAGTGAAAAAATTATGTGGCTGGTTAGTCCATTTTGCTGAAATTTCATTGCAGCAACTCAAAATGGTATTCAGTAATTTGTATGGCCCCCACATGTGTGTATGCATGCCTGAAAATGTCGGGGTATGCTCCTAATGAGACGACGGATGGCGTCCTGGGTATCCCCTCCCAGATCTGGACAAGGGCATCACTGAGCTCCTGGACAGTCTGAGGTGCAACCTGGCGGCGTGGGATGGATGGAAACATAATGTCCCAGAGGTGTTCTATTGGATTTAGGTCAGGTGAGCGTGGGGGGCCAATCAATGGTATCAATTCCTTCATCCTCCAGGAACTGCCTGCATACTCTCGCCAAATTGAGGCCTGGCATTTTCGTGCACCAGTAGGAACCCAGGACCCACTGCACCAGCATGGGGTCTGACAATGGGTGCAAGGATTTCATCCCGATACCTAACGGTGCCGTTGTCTAGCCTGTATAGGTCTGTGCGTCCCTCCATGGATATGCCTCACCAGACCATCACTGACCCACCACCAAACCGGTCATGCTTAACGATGTTACAGGCAGCATAATGTTCTCCACGGCTTCTCCAGACCCTTTCACGTCTGTCACATGTGCTAAGGGTGAACCTGCTCTCACCAGTGGCCGACTTGCCAGGTCTGGTGTTCTGTGGCAAATGCCAATCGAGCTCCACAGTGCCAGGCAGAGAGCACAGGGCCTGGAGGAGTTAGACTTCCTGTGCAACCTCTGTAGGGTCCAGGTAGCGCCTCATGCTAACTGTAGTGACAGTGACCTTAGCCAAATGCAAAACTGGTGAAAGAGTCAGAAAAGACGAGGAGGGTAAAACGTCAGTGGCCTCCACCTGTAAAACCATTCCTGTTAATTTCATTAATACCAAAGCAGCTGAAACTGATTAACAACCCCCTCTGCTACCTACCTGACCAAATCAATATCCCAGAAGTTTAATTTAGTTGATGCTATACTCCAGTGGTGTCAAAAGTACCCACATTTGTTACTTAAGTAGAAGTATAGATACTGCAGTTTAAAAACACTCTGGT